TATCTTGACAAACGGCCCACTTGGATCAGCACAGGATAGGAAATTCGTCGGTTTGCCCTCCACAGGCACTCTTGGACGAAAATTGAACGATGACGCGATCGTCTAGCGAACTAACTGGTGTCAATTTGTATGCGTGCGCTGACTCTCAGGTCGATTACAAATACACATAAATTATCGGTCTGTACCGCCCACATGGAGTGGAGGTGAGAGACTGTTCACTAAAACATCACAATGGCTAAGAAGTAAGTTTTAGCTGTTACATTCTTCTAGATTTTCCTTCCTCAAACCTTTGAGCTTCCAACTGGTGCCGAACGAATCATATTCACCACCATCAGGAATAGCATGAACAATCTCGACTCAGAGCTTTGCTATGGCAAGAGCTGTGTTTCTTGTGTGTTTGTTTTTTTGGACCGCCAAGCTGTTGTTGCCGTGGTCATCTGGTTTTTTCATTAATTCGTTGACCAGAACGCCGAGATCCTTCCTCTAAAGATACATACCGCGATAAATTTAGGAGGAATCAATCGCGCAGGTGGTTAGATTGGAGTCGCGGAAGAAGAGATGTGTCATTTTCGCGGTTCAACTGCGCGAATAGAAAGTTTATGTTAGCCTCTTGACAGCTTCGCAGTTTAGGGTTGGCTTCGCTGCCAACGTGTATAGCGTCTGCGCCCTCTCGTAAGCCAAGCTCTGTTGCGCATTCTTTCCTAATAACGCTGTATCTTTGTTTCGCCGTACTACCGTCGGTCCTCGAAAAAGAGGAGCCTCAACTTCAGTGTTTTTTCTTGCTCGTTACCTTTTTCTTCAGTGACGTAATTTCGTCCTTTACTTTCAAGACCAAGATTATGTGCAAGAAGCACACGGATTTTATCGTTCTAAGTCTTTAGATAGAAAAAATATCTGAAGCGCACCTATGCGTGCGTTTCAGAGGTCGTCGAAGTGCGTGTGCGCGTGGTGGCTTATCCATTCGTGATCCACTTATACATTTTTGAAAGATAAAGCATGTGCAGTTGATCAGTTGCTCTTTGGGATGTGGCACGCATTCTACTTCCATTTGTACATTCGTTGTGGCGTTTTTCGGCCATGCAATGACTTGCGAGATCCAAACGATGTACAGGGTGGGCCAAAATTATGAGGACCGCGTGCGCGCGCAGTCATATCCACTTTTTTCCGAGTCGCTCCATTTTCATCTCCTTTTCTGTGCACTATGTGAAGGGTACAATGTCTTCTTCCTAATGAAACCAAATTTCATGCAGTTCTCAAAACTAGTGAAATAACTACTTCACCTTAGTCAGTCCTCAAATTGAACTCACTACGTTACATCTAGCGGCAGTCTAACGTATCAGGGAAGCTCTTATGAGCAACAGTTCAACTCTTCAATAAGTTTGGAACCACCACAGATGGAAAATTCGGGACTCGAAAGTTACAGTTACCACCAGGATAATTATCAGATGCAGAAACTAGGTCTCCCCTTGTCGACTTTCGTACTCCCAAAATAAAAAAAATTGATGTGAAAACCTAGCCAGATCCCATAAAGAGTCGGAAAGGGCAAATAAACGCCCCCACAAAACTTTGATTCCCTGAAGAAAGCAGAGCAGAAGGCCTGGAAACATTTGACACGCCTCAGTTGCGTGCCACCGCACGCGCCATCCCCTTCATCTGAAGGCTCGTGTTAACGGGGCAGGTGGCAGATCTCAATTCTATTCTGGAATTACTTTGAGATAAGAGTTACAAACACTTCCCTGAAGTTTGTTTGTTCCATCAAGCTACTATGCGTTTTTAACGACACAATGTCTTGGTCCTCATAATTTTGGACCACCCTGTACAAGTCAGTTCTTCTCCTCCCAGAAAAGCTGGTAACAATTTATTATACCTACCCCGGAGGGATGGAAGACTTGACTGGTCCAGACGACGCCCATTCGACTCCCGGACTGCGCACTTGGTGAGCGTGCCTCTTGCCACTTCACCACTTCCGCCCTACACATTTATAGTGGCGAATTAGTGATTGCCGCTGATTTTCGCCACTTCTCCACTGTCGAGTCGCTGACATATCGTTCATACCGCTGGTGCATGCTCGACCACGCAATGCGGTGAGGTTCGCAAAGTCTGACACCGCCCTTTCCCACGTCTGGTCTGATAGCAGCACCATATACAGTTCAGCATTCTCGATGCTTTCAAGTATTTTTCTTTTTTGTTTACATACTCTCAAATCACCCGATTTTGAGAGGGATTTCATCGCAATGTAATATCTGAAGGGTTGATCTACCGCCACGATAATTTAGCGCTGCAGGCGCAATCGCTGCAAAAGTAGTATAACGAAAGAGATTCAAGAAATATACACATAACAGGTTGTCAGATAAGTGTGACGTTTTTCCAAAGTTCTATGGTGAGCTGAATTGGCGAGAGTCTTATATAAATACCAGTTTTGCTCCGCCCGCTATCGCGCGCATCACACGGCAGGCTTTAGCGAAACTGGAGGACCCATGGAATATCAGCATGAGGTACTCCATTAACCACCTCACTATTGAATGTGTTAGACCTTTCCCAGTTTCGCTGAAGTCCATCGAGAATACGCGTGATAACGTCTGGAGCTGAACTGGCATATTTATCTCACAACTGTAAACATCCAGCATTCTTCTTGAATTCAGATAATTTAGCGGTGAATAGGATTGCTGTCAGTCTCAAAATGAAAATGAAATATGCCTATTTACATAAGTGAGGAGCTAAGGCTTATCATTTATTTACATTCACCATTATTTAGAACCCCGAAAGGATTAGCGGTTTAATGAGTTTGGGCTTTCTTGATAGAAATGAAACTTATCATTTGCTGAAGACTTGATTGAGTTTATGCAATCGACTGCTATTAAGTAAGCTGGTCATACAATGATACAATGTGCACGTACCACTACAAATAGAATTTGTAAGTAGGGACGCTCTAGTATCAGCGCAAGCTACGCAAGCTGCGTTCTGACGCGCCTTATCAGCCTTTATCAGTTGTAACCACTTTCATCACCCACCAACAATGTCCCCGTCCCACCCCACATAACACTTGTAAGTATGGTTGCTCTGGTGTCAACGCGAGCCAGGTAACGGAATCGACGACTTTTGCGTTCTGACGCATCTTATCAGCCCTTATCAGTTGCTATCGCTTCCATTCATGTACCACCAATGTCCCGGGACCACCCCACATAACACTTGTAAGTATAGACGCTCTAGTACCAATATGAACGACAAAACGAAATTGGCGATGCTCGCTTTCTAGCCCCTCTTATCAGCTATTATCAGTCGTTATCAGTTCCTATCACGTACCACTTGTGTCCCCATCCCACCCCCTATAACATATGTAAGAACCATGGCGCTATCGTTGCTGTGACCGAGCTACGAATTTCGTGACAAACACACACACACACACACAGACACATACTTAGCGAATTATATATAGTAGGA